AAATCCCACGACACATAGCGACTCTTCGTAGAAGAAAGAGGGACAGCATACCTTAGTCTGAATATATCCCTCTTCAAGCATTGCATATAGGAGCTCCCGAGTCTCTTTACCGCTCATCATCGTCAGCTTCTCAATCTGGTCCTCTTCAAGATGACCCTTTTGCTGGAGAAGGCGGAAGATACTGAAAGCAATAGCTTTGAAAACCAGTAATGGAAGTCAGTAGCAGATTACTCTCCCCTTCATGAAGCAGGGAGCCTTAAAACATTTAGCTCCCGTAGAAAGGGAGAGGGCACGGCTGAAGGCAGGTGGTCGTCGCCAGCGTCATCGGAGGGAGGGAGTGCGAGAGGTCGTCCGGTTACACCCCACTCAATCCTTCCACGAATAACGCTGGCGATAACCGCCTGCTACCAGCAATCGTGCCCATTGCCTTCAAAGGCACGGTTGGCGATCAGGTATAGAAGTTGAAAATATGGCGTTGGCAGGGTAATGTGGTCCGCGAAGAACACCCATGTACTGGTTTCGAGGCAAAAAATTGTGAGGGGTGCCTAGCGCAATTAAGTTCAGTAACGCCTCCATTTTTCCAGTGACTCCGCCTCCAAACTCCGCCTTCAATGCACGCATTTCAATGAAAAGTGAAGCTGCAGGACGAAAAAAGCATAAACATCGCCTTTTAAACGGTCGCAGAGTTCTTAACGCAGAATCAGATGTGCGGGTGAGGGCGTAAAGTTGGAGATGGAGTAACTGGGCACGTGCAAACTGGGATCGAAATGGGGTTCTATCTAGGGCAGTTGGCATGTTTTTTTGCTTTTTTCTTCACTATCGAGTTACTCAGCACCTTGTCGTCTATATGCAAACTCCTAATCCACTATCTATGATGATGAATGATCGCGGGCTCTGCCTTAACAATGTTTCATCATTTGCTCCCTTACTGTATTACTCATTCTACTACGTGTTACCCTCTTCGCGGCATAGATAGCGACGTACCAAAAAAAACGCCTTTTTCGGGGTTGGAGCTTGCCCGGACGAGATGTGCCTCTCACCTTTTCGGAGTCGAGTATTAGTTCCAGCATTAAGCAATGAACACATTAAAGGGACATTTCGCGTAGATAGTATGGGTGGAGACAAAAATCCGATTCATTGGCGCATCCCTCTTCTTTACCGCCTTGGAAGCACCAGTAAGGAGGTATACTTGTTGTCTGCCGCCGCCCATCTGGTTATAGCAGAATGTGCTTCTCACTTGACCATTATCTTGTATTCACGAATTATCTTAATCATATGCATATGGCCGTAATCTGCACTTGATGTCGCGGCAATCAGTCGAGGAGGTGTCAAGAGGCAAGAGCCCACTTGCGGCGTTTACACCACTGGTTCTTTTTTCCTGAATCGATCACTAACCGATCACTATGGAAGAGCAGTGAGTCGGGACCGGTGTCAAAAGTGGCGCCGGAGACATGCGGAGCAATTGCGCCCCTTTTGACACCGCCCGACTGATTTCGACGGCATCGGCTAGGAACGTGTCCGCGGCTCTCTATGAACTCTGAATGAGAAACGTTTTGAAAAGTCATTGGTGATGGTCGTAATCCTTCGTGTCATCTTTACTCTTATTTTATTTGAGTCTCGCCATTGATAGAGGCTGTTTTGAATTCGAGATATCAGCAGTCCCTCCCTATCTCCCAAGCCCCTTATTTAGGGGTCCATCGGGTGGCGAAAAATAAGACCGTTCAACAGTCTTGCATTTTCTTACCGTACTGCTCTTGTCTCCAGCTGTTCTCGTATCAGCGATTCAATATGATATTGACAAATTTGTTGTGTAGCACGTTCAAAGTCTGAAACGCTACTTACAAAAAAAAACGGAGCAACTTTTCAAAGACAAGCTGATTATCGTCGGCAAATCAGGTTGAGTCTGTGCTAGGAGTAAGAGAGAGAGTAGGCCCGCCAGCTAATTTCCACCAATAGCGATCGCTCGTGATCCATGTAGAGAGAACGCGACCAGTGACGAAAACGCTGGAACTGTGCCTCTTGACACCGCCCTGACTAATTGCGAAGATATCAACTGTGCACTGGTTAACTCACTAACCAATTATATACAGTCCTCCACCACTGTCTCCTGACTTACGAACAACACCATGGGAATCGTCAACGAGGATTCGCAACGATTTTTCTAGATCAGGTCGTTCTATTCCAAGCTCGTTTTCCTTCACACACCGCATCATGTCAAAAAGCTGTAAAAGAAACCAAATGATTTGACCAATGGTATCCAGCCTGAGGCTATCTATATGAGCTCATAAAACAGCAGATTGCTTTGAATTGCAAAATCAACTAGAATAGGCACAGGCGCCATTGACAAGAGGCAGCGCAAGTTTTGGTGATCGTAGATGTGAGCACAGTCGGGCAATCCCCGTGAAACTTGTAGAATCTCTCAAGAAAGTACGCCAAATTCAAACTGAAATATTGTTTGGGGCGCGATTCTGAGTAATCACTTTCACTCCAAACGTTATTCGATAACGGCCATGCCACGCCATAGCCACAACGCGCGCCAGAGCGCTGTTGTCGACTTACAGGCACAACAGAAGCTATGGCAAAGCGTGTGGCTGTCGTCAGGCTTGTAGTCTGCGTATACGCGTGCCGGAGATACGCGAGCGAGGCAGAGACAAATGAACACTCAGTTCTACACAATCATTCCTAAGCCTTCGCTTGCAAGCACACTTGTCTCACATGCTGAGCTAACAAGTTTAATCTTTGGCTGGTCATCATCGTCTACATCCAATACGCAGACTCACAATGTGACAGTTCGAATCCCGCGCTAATACTTTGCGACTCGGGAACGTATAGCAGAATCACATAGTATGACGGAGTATGCGTATAGATGGAAAATATGCGTCAAGTGGAGAAGCGAGGTAATCCTTCGTTGTGGATACACATAGGGGCTCGCACTGTTTCGGCGTTGGTGGAGGGGGGTCGAATTTTGGTCCCTAGGAGAAGGAAAAAAAGGTGGGGTCGTGTGGGCCTTTAAGAGCAAGTGCTGCAGTTAGGAAAAAAATATTTCTTGTTGTTGACTTTTCGCGTATTTTCTGCTTGTTCCATATGTACTGCATGCCCCCACCTCTCCCTCCTCGCCCCGCTCGACAGCAAAACTTTGGGGAAAATAGGAAAACTTTCGGAAAATTCCGAAAAAGTGGTAGGAAGTTGTGGAAAAACCGGGAAATTCCCACGTTTCACATCGGCTAGAACTTTCCTCCACTGCTCTACAGAAAATCTTCGGGTGAAAAACTGGGAAATGTGGGAAATTGGTAGGAAGGAGAAGGGGGAAAGTCGTACCGAGGCCCCATTTAGGTGGGGGGGGGGCGTACTGACACCACTCTGCGGGAAGGGCGGGGTGTACTAATGCCACCATTTCACATATCATGATGCTGCCGTCTGAGGAGTATAGGTATCAATCTGGCGTCTTGGGAGAACAGGAGAGTCGCCGAATTGACGCAGTGGGAGGGTGCAAGTCAAAGGAGTGGATGAGTGCAACCGATGCGCCGGGCTGACAACGTTTTGTGGGAATAGCACACCAAGCGCATCCGTCAGAAACGTCGATTCCGCGACTTCTCCTCTTCTGCCACATCCTACATCGATAACTCTTTCCCGTAGCTCGCATCCACCTATTCTCCGATTTTTCTACTCTCCAAGCTGCAATATATTATGACGGCCGAAACGGCTTAAATATGGGTGTGGTCGCTTGGGACCAGGATCATTGAAAAATCAGTGAAGTGCGAAAAACAATTGACAAGGAGGAGAGGGAGAAGAGAAGAAGTTTCCACTCAGTTTCCACTAGAAAGGAGAACTGCCTAAAAAAGCAAGAACTGCCTAAAAAAGCAAGTCAAAGAACTGTCGTACCGATATCGGCGTTGAATTGATCGTTGCAACGGGTGAGACTCGAACCTCATTTGCCTTGAGAAGTGATCGAACCGTTTGTGATAAGCAATGCGCCGTGTGCTCTCCAGCTGAGCCCTACAATACGACTGAACTTCAGTTCATGAGAAATGGATGACTTATTTGGTAATAAATTGTCGTGAAGTTGATTTGAACAATACCTTTGGCACAAGCAATTCAAGGGTCATTTCATCGCGAATATATCTATCGAAACGCGTCCAGTTGATTCGCCAATAAATGCCTTCATCACCCTCAGCTTGCTGCACTTTTCGTTTTCTTGATTCATCCACTGTCTCTAAAATAAGGTAATAAGATAAACAGACCGCAAAATCCAGATTTTGGCGCTGTCCGGCTTAGGGGGGTAGGTGGGCATTGTGCATTTAGCGGTTAGATATTGGTTTTCAAGAATTATCACTGTATGATTTTGTGAAAAGTAAACGATGCCCTGATAGTTCGATGGGGATCGAAATGCCCCCGGCCTGCGCCCAGCTCTCTAGTAACCGAAACTCGCACTTACCTGAGTTGGCTTGCAGTATGACTTCTGGCATGATAAATGGATCAAAAAAAAAAGTGTTTTCAAATTGTGGACATTCCCTTCTTAATGAGAAACCCACTAGAAGGACACCGATTGTCAGACTGAGCCTCACTTAAACAGACAGAAATTTCTCTTCACGGGCTAAAATTATATTTCGAATCAGCAGTGTTCACACTTAATCGTGATAAGGACCCCAAATAGTCTCCAAGGGTAGAATTTCAGCGGGGAAAAAAGACGAAGTTTTAGCGGAAAGAAAAAACTTAAGCTTGTTGGGGTAGCTAAAGTAAGTTAGAATTTTGTTGTTTTCCCTTGTTAGGACAACTCACATCGGCCAAGGGTTGTTCCAGACGAGCAGAAACCTTTCGAATTACGTCTGAACATGTAAGTCGACCATAACTGAATAATTCCTCACATATTGCTTCAGCTAGTCCTCCGTATAGCGTTTTCACTATGAGACAACATCTACAAAACACTTTCTTAGTTAAAATTTGCCGAGTAAGTCTTATGGAAAGACTACCTTGGAGCCTTGGAGAACGCCAGAATTGCTTTTCTATCAACAGAATAGTTCAATCTCGTCGAAGAATCCATTTTGAAAGTTACGACTGCGTGCTGAATAAGAATTGCCAGCGATTTTCTCACCTGAAAATTTGCCGTGCTTTACTAATGCATTAAAGCATCAGGTGGCAATTTTTCCATGATATATCCAGAAGGCAGCTGATGCCACGACATGTTGAACCAAGTATCTATCGCAATTCCCTCAACAGTATCTATCGCAATTGCCCTTGGTTTTGCACCTTACCTCATGAATTACGGAAGCTAGTCACTTCGCCATGGAAGAGGGACAAGTAGGGGTTTCTCTCAAAGATTGCTTTAGATCGCACCTAACAACTTTGGAGTGAGATGGCTCTAACATTAAAAGCTAGTTCGTTCACCAGCGCAGCCGTATTTTCTAACTACCTCCAACTTCTTCAGATCGCCTTCATCCCCCGAAGTTGAACAAAGTGCGAAAGGAAAAATATATGTGTCGGTCTGGCGCAGAGATTTCGCTGAAGAAAAAATTAGAAACCAATTACCAAATGACCTCTCCAATTCTAGTATTCTCCACATGGGCGAAATCAATCGATACGGATCTAGTCTTATTCGCGGATTCTCCGATTTTTCATTTCTCCACACCGATTCGCATATTTTCTTGATATTCTACTCCTCCTAACTCTGTGATTCTGCGAACTTCAAGCACGGAAGGCATGGACGTGTCAGAAGACTTACGCGAACATTATCCGAAATCAAGGTTGCCAGTGCGGCAAAATTCTGCAAAATACGACCCCCCCCTCAGAAGTTTCCCTTCTGATACCCTCTCCCCTCCAACCCCTCACATACCATCTTCCTAAATTTTTCTAACGTTCTACTACCTTCTTTGGTATTTTTTTTGAAAAATTCCTCCTCTCCATCCATTTTTTTCCCAAAAAGACTGTCGTCAAACGGGAAGGGGATGAGACGACACTATTGCGCACTTGAAACAAGAGAGTCCTAAAAAACTCCCTGATCCCCGATCAAATTCGACCCGCAGAAGATCCCCAACGTACAGCGTGGCCTGTCTGAAATGCAACCTAGCGAGAGCTTGAATACCCCCGGAATCTCGCGAGCAAAAGCGCGAAATGACTAACTTGAGTTCTGAAAACCACTTCAGCAACTCACCTGCCTCCCAAAAACCTTTCCCTTCAAATCGAGAAAGTGAGAAAAAAACAATCATCAATTAGTTCACCGCGTTGAACTTCACTTGTCCTTTAAGACGATACATAATGGAAGGGAGTGGTCCAGGCTCTGCAAGCACTGTAGCTGCTACAAGTGCCACTGTTTTGCCAAAATGCTCCTCGAATGAGCACCTGACAGAGCTCGGTCTCAAAGTGCCCCGCCATGTCAGGTTGGCTATTAAGATTCAACCCTGAATTATTATCTCTTATTATCATCGAAGTTCGATCTTCAAGAGGCATTGAAATGTATGGAGATGCGTCGAAATCTTCAATAAAATGGGCCTTTTGGCACCCTCAAACATCTCAAGAAAGCTAATTTCTGACATTTATTCAATCATGCACTGATAGGGAACTATGAAAAACAAACAATTCAACAGAACTAACAACAAAAAATCAAATCAACAATGTATAATAGTTTATAAACAGCTTTCATATATCATGCATGTCTGAAACAACAGTGTAGCATTAGATACCTAGAAACTAGCAACAGTCAAAGTCACCTTCGATTTCAGCTTCATCTTCTGGCTTTTCTTCCTATCAAATCGCGACTTTTTACCTTTCGGTCCTCCAATTGGACCACCTTTCCTAAATTCAGACTTACTATGAGACACAATTCAAGTTAGTCAATTTTAATAAACTTGTCCAGTAATATCACACCGCGAATTACAGATTTTGTTCGCTGCGGATGCAGGGGCGTATCAGGGGGACAGCTGGGTTGGGGAGCGACACCGCCCCGTTCTCCACCAATGTTGTATGCTAGCAAGCGACCACAAAAGGTGAAAACGAGCTGGCGCCAATAATGAGGACAGAAGAAACAAGAAAGAAGGAAATGGTGAAAAGGGAGAAGGTGGTTCGTTTCGCCTCTTGATCAGCACGAGCCATTGTTTAGCGTGAGGCCCCTTGACTTAGCATTTTATCAGTGACTATAAGTAGCCTGGGGACCAGGTGACTGTTGTAAGGGCAAACGCGCTCAACCCGTGGCAGTATCCTCCCCAGTATCCACAGCTAACAACACTATAAACGAGCAAGTTACAAATTCTTAAGAAAATTTCCACGGAATTAGAAGCTTGCTCCATTTGAGGCCGAGTTCGCGATCCCGAAAGAATCGCAGACAAAGGATTTGATGGAAAAGGGTTTATGAAGAAGCCGCTATTAGGGGATTTACGCGATTTGCTAATGGATGGAGTAATCTAATTCGCATCTAGCGTCAATTGAAGGGACCCTTCACACAGCGCACCCCCTTAGTCCCGGTACTTTATAAGGAACCCTTCATAATTCACGTCGGCGTCTTGAGCCTACGCCAGCGTTTTGAGCGCGAGCAATGTATAGGTATCGATCCAGAGCTCTCAGCGTACGTCAGCATTTTGAGCATCTGAGCATCCTGAGCATTTTGAGTGACTAGATAGGCATGGATACCGATCTAGCATTCTAAGCATTCCGCTCAAAACACTCTGACGCTTGGGACCGCTATGCTTTCCTTGTCGCTCAAGACGCTAACGCAAACTATGAGCGCCTTCTAATGAGTGTTTCCCTTTGCCATCGATCACTTTCATGAACGCCAGTGAAAGACTAGGAGTTCGATAAATTCCAAAAAATTCCAGAAAAAGGTAAAAACGACTTTATATCAACAAAACACTCAAACTAAATATTTAGCTTGTATTACCTTTTCTTATTGGTGGAAAGAGCTTCTCCAGACTCATCACGCATCATATAGTTTCCGAAATTGAACAAATCATCCATGGCATTGTCACGATTCAAGCGTTGTTCTCGTTTCTTCTCAGCTTAACTCATCCGCAAACGGACAAAATGATCCTCCTCATATCTGAACAAAATTTGAAAACTTCAGATAGCAAAGTGACGACTAACGGTGTTCACGTACCTTTCCCTCTCTTTGTCAGCATTGAACTTTCGCTGACTCTTTTCCTTAAAAAGGCTTTACATCAAGGTGGAAAAACATCAGAAAAAAATCATAAATGGTGAAACAATTTTTCGGCGAATTCAAGCTTATGGGCATGTGGGGAGGGGGTAGGGACGATGATTGTAATTCTCTATAGTTCCTGTTATACTACACGCTCGACCTAACCGTAAGACTAGTATACTCTGATTAAATGTAAACAAAAGCCCATGCTGTTGCTGTGGCCGTGTAAGAATTTAAAGGTCCATACAGGGATGCCCCCACCAAGCCAGGTTGCTTCTGATTTTGTTAGGCTGCTTTCTTACTTTGCATTCGCCAACGAACGGCAGCATTTCGAGCATTTGGAGCGTACGTCAGCGCCAGGGAATAGAAAAGTACAGGTATCGATCTACGAGCCAGCGCTTCGAGCGACTAGGAAAGCATAGATATCGATTTAGTGTTCCAGCGTACGTCATCGTCTACCAGGATCAGAGTGTATGGGGAAGTAGGAGGGTAGCAGACTGCTGGATTAGGGGTTGTGAAATTACGGCAATGTAAGCGCAGAATAACGGCTAAACCTTAGGATTATGCAATCTCAATCTACGATGTAGTGCAGTTAAACGGTTAAGTTGCACATGCCGTTATTTCACAACGCCTAATCCAGGAGTCTGCTACGCTCCTGCTTCCCCATACTCACCACTCCTGGCCGTACACAGGTCGTGGCCGTACGTAGTCATACGCTAGATCGATACCTACAATATTCTAGTCGCTGGCGCCAGCGTACGCTCGAAACGTTTGAAACGCTGCCGCACGCACACGCAAAGTATGAACGGAACCTCGCATCAACGAAAAAAAACAGAAAATTGGCTTCACATAGCAGTAAAAGTTCATATGAAAACGGAACAGGAAGTATAGAAGAAAGAACATGAAGAAAAGGCGCACTCTAAACTCCTCCGGAGCGTCACTGTATTGCTTGTCTGAGTTCCTGGACGAGACTGCTTTGAAGTGCACGCCTCTTCGCTTTTTCCATAGCTTTTGCTTCTCGCCCATCCTCGTCCTCTGTAACATTCATCCTAACGGGAGATTATATGAAGATTCGGAGCAAAAAAAGTACGCTTCAATAAATCGAACCAACTGAACCTAAAATAAAACAACGACATACAACGATAACAAAATTAAGCACTCAGCAGACGTAGACTTGTTCGCTGCGGACACGGAAGCGTTCTAGGGGCTGGGTTTGGCGCGGCGCCAGCCTGCTCTTAACCAACAGTGGTCGCCTGCCAGCTTCCATAGCTGGCAGAGAACAGGCAGTTGCTGCGATAAGCCCAACCCTACTGAAACGCCCCAGGGTCCGGCAGTCACCAGATGTTACATACAACTCATATCCCCGAAATTTAGAGGGCGCGGCCATCTACATCATTCGAACGTAGTGACCTGTTTTTCTTATGGGATACTTTCGTTTTGAGGCAACTGGAATACGTTCTTTGCCCAGCAAAATGCTGGATAACAGTCGTGCCAAATGGAAATATCCCGCGAAAATTGTATATTACGCCATGCTCAAATGTGGTACACAGCCACGCCCTCCCTATCTAGAGATATGGAGTGTGCATTAGACGAAGGTAAACAAAAGAAATGAATAGCGTGACAAGTACGGTACCTTCGTATCTAACCGCCATCATCTTTGGTGGTACATATTTCTTTGGCTTCTTATTATCTTCCTCGTTATCTTGATCTTCTTCTGACTCCTCATTATCGTCGTCAAACTGAACAAGCTTTTGGATTTTGTTGCCTAACACATTTATTGGCAATGAAGATTTGCTCCATGAGAAAATCGGGCGAGTTCGGCTTAGCAGGCAGCGAAGCTTTACTGTCAGTTACTGTGATCAAAGTGGTGAACTAGCGAAGGTGTAAAATGCCTCCCCCTAAGCCGAACAGCACCGAGATTCGTGCGTTTGCAGTAGCTTCAAGAGCACTGGCCATTTCAAGGAAACCAATGAAGGCCAATGAAAGTGGTATGGCGAAAAGCTACCTCCATTTGATCCGGCCTGGCACGCAAGGAGACTTTTGCTTCACCATTGTTGAGGCTCTACAATTACAACATCAAAAAAGTTGTTCACTTTCACACAAACTGCATATACAGAAAAAGTATGGACCTGAACAAGCTTATCTATTTGAGATCTCATTTTCTGCTCTATTGGACGTATCCGCTCAAGTATCTAAAATGATGCGATCACAGGCAGGCATAAAAGCTGAACAAACAGAGAAAAATCTTAAGATACCAGTATTTCATTTCGAAAATGTGAAAGAAGCCTATAGGAGCAGAATAAACCTATCGGGTCGAGGACACAGCCTACGATTAGCCGAGAGGTACACTGCCGTCCAGCAAGGAGTAAAGTTGTGCCACTTCTGTCACTAGAAAGTACGTGGCAATCGTTCCAGGCGCTTCTAACTGAGGACTGCTGACCCCCCAGGACGCAATACGCCACCGCAGTACTCGCAGGAGAGTAGCTGTTGCACTCGCCTTCGTACTCTTATACTTCGTCGTTCGGTCTCAGCGCTCAGTGTCTCCCCTGTATGCTCGGGATTATAAAAAAGTGTCTTTTTAGGGATTTTCGATGTATTTTGATAATTCCTCACAGACGAGCCATCTGGTACCTAAAAGTTCTCAGTTGAACACCTGTTTCATTGCGCTCTCGCTCAAGGCTAGAAGCTGAAGAAGAAGGTGCTGATCAGCGCTGTCCTATCAGACCCCCCTATCCCGAGAGAGGCGGGAGTTTGGGAAATTCTTCCTAGATTGGTAGGAATCGCTATTATAGAAAGCGTTAAATTAGTGCCGTGATCTTGGTCACGGCCCTGTACTATCACTCTCCATAAGTCAATATGTTGGCGCGTGGAATCATTTACTGAATAACACCTGGTGCATTACCATCAAGAATGAAAGTAACAAGCACAATACTAGCTGAAATAAGAACTCGCCGTTCTATGCTTGGAAGCTCGATATACAGCAGGATGATCTTTAATGGATCTCCCGCAGCTCATTTGGCTCATCAGTAGCGACAACTCAGCCATATAGCACAGCATTTCACGATTCTTCACATCCAACAAGCTGATGCCCTAGAAAGTGAAAACGGTATTGCAACATGTAATGAAGTGCTAAGAGATAAAATACGCAAGAATTATTGAGCATTACTCTGCAATAATTACCTCAGTGAGGTGGAACAACTTCTCGCTCAAAGTTCCACTGAAGTGGTAATCGAATGTCCCAGTCACGAAAACGAACATTCAGTTCTTGCGACTGCACCTTCAATTTTGTTACGAATGGTGCCATCCCAGGATATGAACGCTATATTCGTGATAGGGACGCTCAGCTCCAAATTTCCAGCGAGAACTCTTGAAGACAGCGCCCGTGGATCGCCTTTTACAGGTTGTAGAGCATAGAATATTCGGGCATGTTGTTGTACAAAGCTAAGGAAGAAAAAAGCAAAAGAACCCTAAAAAGAGCGAAAGTGCGCTAAAAAGACCTCATGTACGGGATTGAAAATGGACGAGTTAATCAAACTTTGGGCGAGTTCTCTGATCTAATCGCCACTTGCTGCGACTCATTCTCCAAGGCATATTCGATAAGATTAGCAATTATCACCGCTAACGAATCTTGGTAATGAAAAATGATTGAGGTGGAACTTGTTGACTCCGCCTTCATAGGCGGAGTCAGCTTATCGTTGCTGAGCTGTCGTGCTTTTATCAAGCGCTTTTGAGCCGCGAAAAAGGGATATCCGCTGTGACCACAAGCTCCGCCATCTTGTACTCTAAAGGATTTCTGCACCTTGGTTGATCGCGGACGCTGTCTTTAAATTAGTGGCTAACAGATATCTCGAGATCTCAACGAAAGTAGGCTCACTAAAAGAAAAACCCTGAGAAAACCCACCTCTCTGCCTGTTTCAGCGTTTTTCAGAACGCCGATAAACTTTTCAGCATTTTCAAGTGCCTCCTTAGACGTTTTCGCGCATTCGCGTGCAACCTGCGCGAATCTAGCAGCCGTGGCTTCATCAACCATATGGTGTTCTGAAGGTAACGGTTCAGTTCCATTCAACACATCAAAGCACGGCCTGACCTAGTTTGGTGACACATGGACATGCGGAAAATACGAGTCATTGGAAGGTCACTGCTGCTACCAATCACAGGCCACTTGCACGCCCTATCTCTAGCGAATTGGCATTACTTCCACATGATACAGCATATTTCCGTGAGCAAAACCCTCCCCTTGTCCAGAAGGGAGTTTTACACAACTTTAGGCCTAAAAGCATGTTCACGCTTGCGCTCGCGCGATCGGATCGCGATTAGAGCGCGTTCAGACTTCGCGATCGCGCGATCCAGTTCGCGCGATCGCGAAGTTTGAACGTTGTCTTAGACTGTGTGCACGTGGCCCAATTTGAATCTGTGTCGTTGCGACGTGCACCGTTTGGCAGTGGAGCATCCCCAGTCAAGATCGCTCAACTGGATCGCGCGATCCACATTCGAGCGATCGCTAAGTATGAACGCGCTCTAACTTTCACAGGGAACGATGTAAATGTCCCTTAGGATTATGGACGTATTTTCTTGATTACAGTATAGCTTTTTAGCTCTATTCACTGCGATATAGGAATAAGTGGCCGAGCTTCCAGTGCATTTACTTATTCAAAAAGAACTACAATTAAAAATTTTATTCGATATTCTCCAAACAACACTCTTTATATACAAAAATTCCAACTGGATACTAGGTACAATATACAATGGTGTAACTATCTAAAACTATCTAATACCCGTAACACAGAATAAACAAAATCAGAAAACCTATGCTAATCTGTGATGATTCAAGTTGAACTTGATGACGAAGACGGTACATCGCTAGCAGTCTTTTTACCTCCACTCGTGTAGGCGACAAACATTTCTTTTAGGAAAGATAGCTCTTTTTGTAGAGATTCAACCTATAAGCAGGCAATAAAGTAAGATGAAGGCAAAGTTGGAACCAGTTTAACCCGGGTCCGCCGCCCAATCAGGGTACAGCATCGTGATGTGAATGGTACGGTAGGTACCTCACCCCTCGAGGAAGGGTGTCACTACGACGCACCCCACCTAAATGAAGGACTCCACCCTCCCCAACCCTTACCAATTTCCCACATTTTCCAGTTTTTCACCCAAAAAATTAGGCTGTCTAGGGGGGTACATTGTACACATGAAACCGGAATACTATAGAAATCACGTAAAGTTAAAAACCGTAAAAAATTTTCCCAACGGAACAAATTTCTCTCAAAGCCACCCCCCGTCCACCGGGAAAGTATGACCCCGCCTAGGGGTTTCACACAACGATGCTGTACCCTGCACCCAATACGTTAAGTTTCACGACATGCCACATCTCCTTACACAAGACTGACGTGAGGCGGCAGAAGTAGCCAGCAGGATTGATGAACCACTGTTCATGGATACGAAAACCCTTTAGCAAAGAGGATCGCGCTATCATCAACGTGGCACTCTTTCTCCTATTTCAGGCAGTCTTCCAGATCTAGGTGTAGGGCCAAACACTCAAGGACATCAAACAAAATAATCGTAAAAAAGGGGGTAGCCTGACAATACAGACCATCATGTCGCCGCGCCGGGAGGCGTCAGGTGGACTAGCGCTTGCCGACGCATGTTTCTAGACTGCTGGATTGGTGACAACTGACAAGTGTATGAGAAAAGTAGCCGTAAATGTCTGCGACGCAAAGTTGGGTGCTTCATTCAACAGGCTACTGCAAAATAAGGAAACGCCGCGCGCGCAACGTTATATTTCCTCTCATCGAACCGCTGCATACGCTCACACAACGATCACATAAGCGTAGGACCGCAACATAATAATACGCTTATATACTTAAAACACATTAAAGATGCGCCGTCATGCTGAGCGTTAGGTGGATATAGAAGTTGGAGTGAGCGGGGGCGGACAGCGTCATGCAGCCCTTAGAACGAAAAGCTCTCATCGAAACTGCATGCAAACGAAGTTAGAGATTTGTGACAGATATATGTCTTTTAGATCTCCAAACTCTATCCACTGCGTGCAGCTCGTAAACACCGCGCAGTGAAGGGGCGGCGCTTCCGGTAAGCTGCCTATGTTGAAGGAAGAGAGGCGACCAACAAGTAAGAGGAGCAGACAACTAGCGCATGCGGACATGGCTGGCTTGTGCTTGGTCGTGCGGCGTACTATGTGTTTTGGAGGCTATTACCTGTGGCGCGTGACGACAAGCCATGGAGCTCTGACTGCTCTTTAACCTCATTTCCGCGCATGTTCGAGTGATCAAAGTGACGCACTTTCATAGCTGCTGGGTTGTTCACCTCGCACATTGCAACGATCAGGATCGCTGGAGGTGGAAGCCCAGCATATTTTGGAGCTATACGTACGTTTCCTGATTATTGCTAACACCAGAGGACAACATAAAATGTATTGCATGCTATTAGCGCTTAACTGTAGCAGCAGATTCTTCCTTACAAAAGGTTGAACGCTGGGTGAGTTTGTTTCCTTTCCTGCTTGGGTTTTCTTCCTGAGATTACCCACAGAACACTTGTATCACCGGAAAAGTTGGGAACATTTTTAGGCTTCCGAAGGCGATGTTCTAGTAGGAACGTCAGGCCATATCAATACCGGTGATATGGCAGCTGATAGAATATGTAGTATACAGGTGTGATAGAATATGTAGTATGATGTGTCAGGATACCTCAAGGACGAATATCCCCAGTACGTTTATCCATTGCTATCACGAACTGCCACAATACCGAGGTTCTAGCAAATAATCTCGAATAACACAAACAAGCGCAATTTGGCGACGAAAGGAGGGGGCATTTTGCATTTTCAGTCCCGCTTTGCATGTCTTACTTTTGCGAAACCAACGAGATCTTAGTGAAGCTGCAGTAAGTCGTCGAGCCACCATGATAAAACCTGTCAACTCTTGTAAGCTCATGAAACAGCTCTCTAGATGGCTCGACACGTCGATGGGAAGTAGCAAAAGTGCAAAATGCCCCTCCCGTCGCCGAACTGCCCCTCTTCAAAGCATTTTATAGTAACGGGTTCGATAGCAGACTTATGTTGGGACTAACGCCTTGATCTATGACAAACTGAAACCAATAACTACCTGTCTTTCGAGCTTTTCGTTCTCTGCTCTGAGTTCCTCGACCTTTTTTGCAGTCTCTGTTTCTTCTTGTCGCTTCTTTTCACGGGTCCTTAAATTGTAGGTTACCAGGAGACGCAAAAATTTATGAATTATGGCATCACGTCGAGAATCATTGAATACTGTGCACGAAGAAA